CTGGGATGACACAGCAGAGAGGAGAGTCAGGGGCCTCAGGAGGACAGAGCTGCCTGCTCTGTGCACACTGCCCTCCCTCCACTCTCTGATGTGGCCTGTCCACCTGACTAGTGCATCCACAGATGTGTCCAGGAGAGGATGCGCCCTGAGCTGTCTACCCAGGCACCAGGAAAGTGTCCTTGAGAGAAAACCACTGAGCGGTCCATCAGCAGGATGGGGACACATGCGTTCTGAGAGAGATCCGTAAACTTCTGTGTGTATTTCATGGTAAGATGAAGGGAAGAAAGATGGTTTCTGTCTCTTGTGTGAGTGTAACACCCACAACACTGTGCAGTCCACCCCCTTATGTGGGGACTTCCAATCCTCAAGGCCACTGCAGACATTCAGGTACTGGGTGCTAACCTGCTGCTCCCAGGGACACACAGAAATGGTTCCTGCTGCCTCTGGTCACAAGTTCATCCCCTGAAATCACACCTTGGGTCATAGGGGGTCTTGTAAACTAGTCAGTTCCATGTAAACTCACAACCTGCTCCGTCATCTACCACCTCCTATGCATCACTTGCAAGAAATTAGAGAAAATCCTGCCACATTCTCCTGTCCCCAGAAGGTGCTCCACCCCAGGCTCAGCCATCTCACCTGCCTCACCTCCTGGCATGTGTGAGACCAGCAGATCCATCCAGGGAAGGTTTCTCATCTCCTCACCCTGAGCAGCCTGGCCGTGCACACTTCAGCCTCAGCTCCAAGAGACACCATTGGTGGCACTTCTGTATTTTCACTGGAGGAACCCAATAATCTGGTGAGTCCAGATGTCATCAGGGTCACATGCCCCATTAGGGTCAGGGACCAGTTCCCAGAGCACCCTCAGGCTCAGATCAGCTGATTTCTCTGCCTCTTTCTGTAACATCAAACTTGTGATTCATTCACCCTGAGCTAATGGCCAACATGCAATACCAGAAAATCACTTTTACTCACCTACTTACCCTCTTAGAATCTTCCCTCCTTCTAACACTGAGGAAGGACAAAGGGCACTATACCAACATCCCTGGATCTAATGTGAGTGCCAACTTGCCAACGTAGGAAAAATGTGGAATTCCTACACTAAATTGCCCCTGAAGGGCAGGAAGGAAGCTGAGATAGGAGTGGGTGACCTCAGCTCCCTGTGCACACTCCGGGCCTCAAGCCTCCCCAGGGTGTGCGTTCCAAGAGCATCAGCAAGTTCACCCTTCATTCATATGTAAATTAGGAGTCAGTATTACATTCTCCTCACCACACTGAGCCAGAATGGAAATTTCAAATCCTGAATCTGTGGCATCAGGAACTACTGCCCCCAGGGTTGGGCACTATTGCACTAGAAATCTGAAACTGGTACTTAGACTTCATGTTACCTTTGCACAGTTGCACTAATCCATGGAGGTGTGGAGTCTCCTTGCACGTGTAAAGCAAAGGGAGGGTCTGCACACAATTTGGGATTCCCAGGGCCTTCTTATGTAGGTGTCAATCACCATGTTTTAGTGTGAAGCATTTGATGAGAACATGGTCAGTTAATCATATGGACAGCTCCTCTGTAAAATGCAAACACAGAGAACAGGGAACTAAGTCTTTCCCAGACAATAAGTTGGACTTGAAAATGAGGTAGCAGGAATGGGGAAGGCAGCTGAGGGGATCCCAGGGTGCTGCAGCAG